ATAGCTGGAGGCCATCTCCGGTTGGCTAAGTTCAATCACAATTCGCCCCAACAGCGGGGGCTCCTGGGGTACAAAACTCCCGGCATACGGTGCGGCTAGTGGTGAAGCTGACATTCCATAGGCGAGATCCGCCACAAACCTCTGGAGATCACCTATCATCCCCATCAGTTCAAATGTAGTAGGCTCGCGAGCCTGGTATAGCTGGGGGGTCCAAACCGGGTGTGCAACAGGCGACCTGGGTGGATGTGACACATCAATGTTGGCCTCACCTTGCAGGGTGATCCCTTGCTCTAATGCGGCTGTCATAACCACGATCTCTTCTGAATTCTGCATCATCACAAGCCCTGCCGCGGCAAGGGGGAACACTGGCTATTCTGTATCAACTCTCTGACCCTCTGAACTGAAAGGAAAAACATACAGCATTTCAGCCCCAAACGGATCAAACACAGGTGTAGCCGAACAACTGTATTCCACTACTGATTACTGTTCCCCAGAAACCACTGTCCCCAAAACTGAACTGATACCCACAGATAACTGGTTCTCAACAGTGCTGATACTGGTGTCCTCAGGTCTGATACTCAAACTTGCAAACTGATATGTACTTTCCCTGTGGAGATACACTCTAAAAGCACATAGCAAGTAAAGAGAGCCAAAACACCCCTATGTTGGGGTAGGGTTTCCCTGTCCTATTTTGTCAGGAGCTAGGGTTCCACTATGCACGCAACAGTTTTAAACAACCTATAAACGAGTAAGCAACCTGTCCTAATTTGGAATGGTCACTATGGATTCCGAATATGCACTAGGTCGAATGGTCAAAAGGGTGCCCCGGTAAAAACCGGGGTTTGTGTTCCCATACTGTCAGAGCCCATAACCGGTCAGCCTTATGGTCATGCCTTGACAAGACAAGCCTCCGGCAAACCGTTCAGGAATGGCAGATGGCAAACGCTGTGTTCCTAGACGCACCAATGCACATGCAATGCAAAGAAACATATAAGTGTAATCAAAACAGGATATCACGAGTTTGAGTCAAGCTC